AGGTTTCACGGTGAGTATAACAAGCATGATTTACTGCATATACAGACTGATTTTACTGTTGTGGGTTTAGTAACACTTTATGCTGGGTACACTCCATAAGAAAATCGGGAAAAAATGTCTGTACGAGGAACGATTGATTGATTATCTGGTCGTTAGTATAGTGTTTTTGTCAGCCAATTCCAACTGTATGGACAAAAAATACCTAAGGTGCAATCTGGAACATTTTTATCGTGTGTGAACACAACGTCCAATTGTTGCTCAATGTGTACAGTAATCCTGTAGAGATAATTGAATAGAGAAAAACGCACATGATCAGAAGCAAAGAATGACCCAGAAGAAGGTGCAACAAACATAGAAATTGTACACAAGAAAGAATGTTTGCCTTTGTTGTTCAAGAATTTTCGTAAAAGTTCATATGAACGTCGGTTACATCATGATATACACCTACGTGGAAAATCGGATGACTGTTCATACCATGTACCCCACTTATGTTCCCTAAGTTACCTTGAAAAAGGAACCCTGTAAGGTCTCACAAATGCCAGTTCCTTGTGCCTTATGGGATGTTGTATTCACAATAAACACATTCATTTGGAGTATTGGTGATAGCAAATCCTTGGCGCCATCCATGGCATTCACCATTACATGGTCTAGTACTCAACGGCATGTAGCTTCTATTTGGACTGGTGGAGAAGGTGTCATGGCAAGACTGCAAGTATTTCTGAACAAGTTCAGAGTGAGCCTGTCCCAATAGAAAGGCTTAGGACAGACCAGGTTGCCTCTTATTAACATAAAATAAAGTCCAGCCTCTTAGGCTCCATGCTCATGGGGGTGTTTTGATAACACTGGTGATATTAGCTGTGTAAAGTCACGTTAAAAACGTGAGTTTCAGCTTTTTTAGCATTTTTGCATTAGCGTTTTAGCGGGTTTTTTTTTTAACCAAAAAATAATTTTTTTTTGGTTGAAATAACGTCCAAAAATGCTGGCTTGCAGTGGTTTACCGTAACTTACCGTGTTTTGCCACGTTTTTCAGCATTACAGCGTTTTTACAGCTAAAAAAACTCCTCTAGAAACCCACTAGTCCTGGGTTTTTTTCCAGCCAAAAAAACTTTGATTACAGTCTGTGTGCATGGACACATAGGATAACATGCTGGGGGTTTACTAGCTGTATAAAAAACATCAAAAGCCAAAAACATCCGCTGTAAAAACATTCAGTGTGCACGAGGACTAGATCATTACTCTTTGCTAGAAGAGACAGTGTGCAGATCTAATTACAACTGATAATGAAGATCTACCAGCACTGTGCAGACAGGGTTAATGATGACATTGACTCCTCAACCCCCTCATAAACAAAGAGAAAGTGGGAATTTCAGTGCTGGAGTTATCAGAAAAGAGCACTTAAAATGGTAAGCAGCAGTTCCAACATTTTTGTTTAACCACTTCAATATCAGGCACTTTTACCCCCTACCTGCCAAGACCAATTTTCAGCTTTTAGTGCTCTCACACTCAATCATGCTACACTGTTCCTCAACAAAACTTGTATATTTTTTTTCACAGCAATAGAGCTTTATTTTGGTGGTACTTAATCACCCCTTTGTTTTTTATTTTTTTGTGAAATAAGCGAAAAAAGGAAGAAAATTAAAAAAAAAAAACACTTTTTTTTGTTTCTATTAAAAAAAATTTGCAATTAAGCAAATTTTCTTCATAAATTTAGGCGAAAATGTTTACCGCTACATTTCTTTGGTAAAAATAACCCAAATCAGGTTATATTATTTAGTCTGTGTGAAAGTTTTAAAGTCTACAAGCTATTGTACCAATCATTGAAAATTGATCACAGCTGATGTACTGACCGTCTCTCTCATTTCTGAGGCCCTAAAATGCCCTAAAATGCAAGTAAAGTACAAATACCACCCCCAAATGACCCCTTTTTAGAAAGTAGACAGTCCAAGCTATTTAGTAAGGCTGGCCATACATTATAGAATTAGCTGGAGATTTTTGGTTTAGATTTACCAAAAACCATATAATAGGAGGACAAACCTAAACAACACTTTCAGTTGTATCCAACTAGGCAGGCCCTTGCACTACACAGTTGAAGGTAAATCTAAAGGAAATTGGGCAGAAATTGGAAGATAATTGTATAATGTATGGCCAGCCTTAGAGGCATGGTGAATTTTTTGAAGTTGTCATTTTTTCCATCAATTCTTGGAAAAATTAAGAAATTTTTTTTTTTATACAATTGTCATATTAACAAGTTATTTCTCACGCACGGCATATGCATACTTGCAATTACCCCCCAAAACACATTCTGCTACTCCTCCTGAGTATGGCAATGCCAAATATGTGAGACTTTTTCACAGCCTGGCCACATACAGAGGCCCAAGATCCAAGTAGCACCATCAGGCGTTCTAGAGGCATAAATTACACTTTTCATTTCCTGACTACCTATAACATTTTTGAAGGCCCTGGAGCACCAGGACAATGGAATTACCCACAAACTGACCACATTTTGGAAAGCAAACACATCAATGTATATTCTATGAGGCATTATGAGTCTTTTGAATGTGTCATTTTTTTCCACACATTTTTGAAAAATGTTGAAAGGAAATTATTTTTTTTTTTTTTTTTTTTTTTTTTTTTACACAAAGTTGTCAATTTCTAAGATATTTCTAAACATATAGCATGTACATACCAAGAATTACACCCCAAAACACATTCTGCTACTTGTCCTGAATATGACGATACTACATGTGTGGGACTTTTACACGGCCTGGCCACATACAGAGGCCCAACATCCAAGTAGCACCATCAGGCGTTCTAGAGGCATAAATTACACATCCAATTTCCTAACTACCTATCACATTTCTGAAGGCCCTGGAGCACCAGGACAATGGAATTACCCACAAAAGGACTACATTTTGGAAAGCAAACATCCCAACATATATTCTGTGAGGCATAATGAGTCTTTTGAACATGTCTTTTTTTTTCCACAAGTTTTTGAAAAATGTGGAAAGAAAGTGAAAACTTTTTTTTTTTTGTTTTTACACAAAGTTGTCAATTTAGAAGATATTTCTAATAACACAGCATGGACATAGCAAGAATTACACAAAGGGTAAACAGAAGATTACCTGTGGTTGTAGTAGAGAAGTTGTCTGCAGAGGAGAGCAGTGGCCCAGGAAGCAGGCAGAGATATGGCCAGCAATAGCCAAACAAATAGCTCAGGCAGCAATATAGTCCAAAAAAGTCCGGGTCATTACAGGCAGCAATATGGTCAACACAGCCAAAGTACTGGTTCAGGTAGCAGGCAAGAACATGGTCCATAAAAGGTCCTGGGTCATTACAGGCAATAGGCAGAGATATGGTCAGCACAGTATTGGTCCAGGCAGCAGGAAGGAACATCAGGCTTAGGGTCTCAGTCAGGTAAGACCTGGCCACAGGGGTAGAGGCTTCGTCCCACCCAATCTCTTTGAAGCCTCCAAACTAACAGACCCTGATCCGGGAATTACAAAACCCGGTGAAAACCAAAAACTGTTTTTCTCTACTCTGAAGCCCCTCACACATGTGAGACCCCTGTGTTATCTTGCATCCCACTACTACAGTAGCAGGGCAAAAGATCAGTTCAAGCGACAGGCAAAAAACATGGTTGCTTAACTGGCTGAGGTCAGTGCAGGTGGAAGGCAGAAACGTGGTTTAGAAACAATCCAGACAGCAGGAAAAAGCATGGTTGATAAACAGGCCAGGGACAGTTCAGGTGGAAGGCAGAAAAGCAGTTTAGATGGCAGGCAGAGGCATCGACAGTAAATGGAAGGCAAAGAAATGGTATCAAGGCAGCAGGCAAATGATCAGCATGAATTTTAGAAACTGGGAAATGGCAGGCTGTTAAAATTAAGGGGAATATTTTAGTGAAGTGTGATAACGTAGGAAGCAGTCTCCGATGCGTAGGCCTGGTTGGGACGGACATTGTGGGCAATGAACACTGGTGTCTTTCCTAACTCCTCTTTTGCCACATTTTTTTTACGTCTTCTTCCTGATTCTGTGGGTGGAAGGTTTTCTGGAAAATGACTCTCGTGAAACCTGCTCACACAATCAGAGCAAATGTTTTCTGGGGGGATCTTTGCTGGTAGATCAGGGCACTGATAATTTCCTCAATATACCATACTTTTCACTCCATACGACGCACCTGACCATAAGGCGCGCCTAGGTTTTAGAGGAGAAATACAAGGAAAAAAATATTCTGAACCAATGGACTGCAGACACAGTACAGGAGATGACCAGAGACTGCGGACACAGTACAGGAGATGACCAGAGACTGCGGACACGGTACAGGAGATGACCAGAGACTGCGGACACGGTACAGGAGATGACCAGAGACTGCGGACACGGTACAGGAGATGACCAGAGACTGCGGACACGGTACAGGAGATGACCAGAGACTGCGGACACTGTACAGGAGATGACCAGAGACTGCGGACACGGTACAGGAGATGACCAGAGACTGCGGACACGGTACAGGAGATGACCAGAGACTGCGGACACGGTACAGGAGATGACCAGAGACTGCGGACACGGTACAGGAGATGACCAGAGACTGCGGACACGGTACAGGAGATGACCAGAGACTGCGGACACGGTACAGGAGATGGCCAGAGGCTGCGGACACGGTACAGGAGATGGCCAGAGGCTGCGGACACGGTACAGGAGATGGCCAGAGGCTGCGGACACGGTACAGGAGATGGCCAGCGACTGCGGACACGGTACAGGAGATGGCCAGCGACTGCGGACACAGTACAGGAGATGGCCAGCGACTGCGGACACAGTACAGGAGATGGCCAGCGACTGCGGACACAGTACAGGAGATGGCCAGCGACTGCGGACACAGTACAGGAGATGGCCAGCGACTGCGGACACAGTACAGGAGATGGCCAGCGACTGCGGACACAGTACAGGAGATGACCAGCGACTGCGGACACAGTACAGGAGATGACCAGCGACTGCGGACACAGTACAGGAGATGACCAGCGACTGCGGACACAGTACAGGAGATGACCAGCGACTGCGGACACAGTACAGGAGATGACCAGCGACTGCGGACACAGTACAGGAGATGACCAGCGACTGCGGACACAGTACAGGAGATGACCAGCGACTGCGGACACAGTACAGGAGATGACCAGCGACTGCGGACACAGTACAGGAGATGACCAGCGACTGCGGACACAGTACAGGGAATGACCAGCGACTGCGGACACAGTACAGGGAATGACCAGCGACTGCGGACACAGTACAGGGAATGACCAGAGACTGCGGACACAGTACAGGGAATGACCAGAGACTGCGGACACAGTACAGGGAATGACCAGAGACTGCGGACACAGTACAGGGAATGACCAGAGACTGCGGACACAGTACAGGGAATGACCAGAGACTGCGGACACAGTACAGGAGATGACCAGTACAGTGGGTGCACTGACAGATCCACTGATGGCGGCACTGACAGATGCACTGATGGGCTGTACTGATAGATGCACTGATGGGCTGTACTGATAGATGCACTGATGGCGACACTGACAGATCTACTGATGGCAGCACAAACAAATCCACTGATGGCGGCACAGACAAATCCACTGATGGGTCCACTAATGGCTCCACTGACAGATCCACTGATGGGCTGATCTGACAGATCCACTGGGACTCTTTATTAGGGGCAGTGTGGCATACAGTAGTAATCAAAGGGTATGAAAAACTCACTGTTCCTAGGTTCTCCTCCTCACTTAAGATCGGTGTGTGAGGAGGAGAATATAGCAACAGTGAGTGATCACTGTGTGTTTACACTTATGATCGGCTGTGACAGGTCACAGCCAATCACGTGGTAAAAAGCCAATTTCATTGGTTCTTTACCATCAGCGGGGAAGAGCTGTGTCCGAGGGACACAGCCCGACAGCAACAAGCAACAGCCGCGCTGCGCACCCCATGGGCGCACATGTGCGGCGCGATGCGCAGGACATGATATGAGGCCCAGTCACAGGCAGAAGAGGACTACAATCCGCTATAGGCCGGGTGGGATCTGGTTAAAGTGTGACTTAACCCACAACAGTAAAACCAGTCTATATATGAAGTAAAGCATGCTTGTTATACTCACTGTGGAACATAAGGGGTTAATCGTCTTCATTGTGTAAAATGGCTGTTTGATCCTGTCTTCTCTGATCCTCCCCTTCTTCTACTGATAGAACAGAGATTCAGGGGGGGCAAACTGCACATGTCCAGTTTGGAGTGTATTGCTAGAGAGTTTTTATTCTTCTTGGGAGAGTGCATGTGATCTGCACAGGGCCAATCAGCACTGTCCAGACAGAGGGTCAGGGGTCCTGCAGCCTCATATGATAATCAGAGCAGAATGAAAACTCCTCCTAAAAGCTTTAACCATTGCTCTGCTTAACACTGATAGAAGTCACAAGACTGCTCTAACTGCTGATGAGAAAAGGTATTTAACAGTTTATATTTACTAAAATAATTGCATTTCCATGTTCTGTGTACTGTGGGAGACCAGATATAGTGAAGGCAGGGTCCGGGGTTTAGTAACACTTTAAGGCCCCTTTTACACCGACGTTCCATTCGCCATTCTTCCATCTGTTGTAGGATGAAAAACGGACATCGATGCATCTCTGTGGAAAAACGGATGTAATCGAATGATCGGCTTACATCCAAATCTTCCAACATCCAATTTTTGAAACAGATCAAAGCCCTATTTTTGTTCCGTTAAAAAATAGAATGGACAAAAAGTGAATGTAAACAGACAAATGGTCCATTTGCATCCGTTTTTGCATTGGTAGTCGATGTAAAAAACTAATGTAAAAACTGATGAAAAACTGATGTAAACTGAATCCATTTTTTTTTTTAAAAAACCTGACTGATGAAACAAACGGAATGCCCATGTGAGAGGATTAGGTTATACAAAGGCCCCTTTCACACAAGAGCTCCATCTGTCCGTTTTCTGTCCAACAGCAATGCATTCCTATGGGCAAACTGATGTAACCAGACATCGTACGTTTACATCAGTTTTTCATCAGCATCTGAAAAACTGATGTAAATGGATGAAAAATGGATGTAAACTAAACAGAGCTAAATAAAAACTGAATCTATTTTTCTTAGTAAAAACGTGACTACATGGATGATGCCCATGTGAAAGGGGCCTAAGTGAATGGGAACATGTAACAAATATAAAGTAGGTGTTATCCCAATCTGGCTACAAAAATTAGAAATATATACTTTTAAGACGTTTCAGTAACTTTACAAGTCTGTAGGAATATATTTCTGATGTAACATTATACAGCAACCGTATACTCTTTTAATAAAGCTGTAACTTTTCTGCCGGTTCAGATCACATGCAGACTAGTGCGTTTTTGTCTGCATCAATCACATGCTGCATTTTTCTGCAAGGAACTGCACTGGAATGCAGCAAAAACATACATTACAGCAAAAACAAAAAAAATACAGGAAGAATTGGGAAAAAAGTAAGAGGGGGAAAAAAAAACGCACTGGAACGCACTGAAAATGTGTACTGGAATGCATCAAAAATATGCATGCAGAAACACATCCGGACTTTCTGTGGTGTGAACCAGCCCTTTATCTTAAAGGTGGGAATGCACGATTAGAAAATCGACCGATCGGTCATCTGATGACCAAGAGGCGTTCGTTCGTTGGTCGAAATCGTGGCCCACATTAACCAATCTAAAAAAAATCGTTCGCCAGGCAATACTTAGTGTTGACGTCTTCCTTACAAGTGGAAGTGATGCAGTGTGCGTGTGACCTTGTAGCCACGCCCTTCCGGCCAGAACGCGCGATATACACAACAATCAACAGCAATGAGTATAATATAGTACAGTTGCAAGAAAAAGTATGTGAACCCCTTGGGATTACGTGGAGTTTTGCATGTATTGGGCATAAAATGTGCTCTGAACGTCATCTAAGTCACAACAATAGAAGAACACAGTCTGCTGAACATAATACTACACAAACATTAGATGTTGCCATGGTTTAATTGCACAGAACATACAAACATTCACTGTGCAGGGAGGAAAAAGTATGTGAGGCCCTAGCTTAATGACTTCTCCCAGAGCTAATTGGAGCCAGGAGTGAGCCAACCTTGACTCCAATCAGTGTGATGATATTGGATGTGTTGCTGACAGCTGTCCTGCCCTTAAAAAACACACACCTGTTTTGGGTTTACTGGTTTCAAGAAGCACTGTCTGATGTGAACCATGCCTCGCAGAAAAGAGCTCTCAGAAGACCTACGATCAAGAATTGTTGACTTGGATGAAGCTGGAAAGGGTTACAAAAGTATCTCCAAAAGCCTTGATGTTCATGTGTCCACGGTAAGACAGACTGTCTACAAATGAAGAAAGTTTATCACTGTTACTCTCCCTAGGCGTGGTCGTCCTGTAAAAATGACTGCAAGAGCACAGCGCAAAATGCTGCATGAGGTAAAGAAGAATCCCAGAGTGTCAGCTAAAGACCTACAGAAATCTCTGGCACATGCTAACATTTTTGTTGACAGATCTACAATAAGGAAAACATTAAACAAGAATGGAGTACATGGGAGGACACCACGGAGGAAGCCATTGCTGTCCAAAAAAAGAATATTGCAGCACGTTTGAAGTTTGCAAAAGAGCACCTGGATGTTCCACAGCACTACTGGCAAAATATACTGTGGACAGATGAAACCAAGATTGAGTTGTTTGGGAAGAACACACAACACTATGTGTGGAGAAAAAAAGGCACAGCGCACCAACATCAAAACCTCATCCCCACTGTAAAACATGGCAGAGGGAGCATCGTGGTTTGGGGCTGCTTTGCTGCCTCAGGGCCTGGACGGATTGTTGTCATTGATGGGAAAATGAATTCCAGAGTTTATCAAGACATTTTGCAAGAAAACGTACGACCATCTGTCCGCCAACTGAAGCTCCGCAGAGGATGGGTGATGCAACAGGACAATGACCCAAAGCATACAAGTAATTTAACAAAACAATGGCTACAACAGCACAGAATATGCCTTCTGGAGTGGCCCAGTCAGAGTCCTGACCTCAACCGATTGAAATGCTGTGGCATGACCTTAAGAGAGCGATTCACACCAGACATCCCAAGAATTTTGCTAAACTGAAACAGTTTTGTGAAGAGGAGTGGTCCAAAATTACTCCAGATCGTTGTGCAGGTCTGATCTGCAACTACAGAAAATGTTTGGTTGAGGTTATTGCTGCCAAAGGAGGGTCAACCAGTTATTAAGTCCAAAGGTTCACATACTTTTTCCTCCCTGCACTGTGAATGTTTACATGTTCTGTGCAATTAAACCATGGCAACATCTAATGTTTGTGTAGTATTATGTTCAGCAGACTGTGTTCTTCTATTGTTGTGACTTAGATGACGTTCAGAGCACATTTTATGCCCAATTCATGCAAAACTCCACGTAATCCCAAGGGGGTTCACATACTTTTTCTTGCAACTGTATATTACATGACCTATATACATAAATAGTGATACATAACATATAATATGCTGAATTCTGCTTTCATTATCTCATTAGGCCAATCTACTTTTAACATTTGGATTTTTTGTTCGTGTTTACGAAGATTCCTTGGACATAAACATCCGGGTCATCTTCTGTTTCGCTCATGCGTGATAGCGCTTGATAGATTTTATTTCATACGACCGTCATACCACCGCATAGAAAATCGCTCGTTCGTATGTGAAACGATAACATTTTTCATTGTTGTTCAACCGGATTTTTTGCTCACAATATCGTTATTGGTTAAAACATCCTGTTCATCAACAAACAGAAAATCGTTCGATCAGTGGTTGCACAAAATTTTTTGTACAATTTTCTTATCGTGTGTACGGGGCATAAGTCCTCATGCACACGGGATGTTATGATAACGCTGGTAACCTTAGCTGTGTAAAGTCACGTTAAAAACGTGAGTTTTTCAGCATTTTTTGCATTGGCGTTTTCCCATTTTTTGTCGAAAAAGTCCAAAAACGACGGTTTGCTGCGTTTTACTGTGTTTTTCAGCATTAGAGCGTTTTTACAGCTAAAAAACTCCTCTAGAAACCCACTAGTCCTGCTTTTTTTCCAGCCAAAAAACATCCCTGCTAAAAAATGCCAATTACAGTCTGTGTGCATGGACACATAGGATAACATGCTGGCGGGTTTACTATCTGTAGAAAAAAACATCAAAAGCCTAAAAAAGGGCCGCTGTAAAAACGTTGTGTCCATGAGGACTAAAAAGCAGTTATTGCTCTCTAGCCAAGGGATTTTCTTTCTAGCTTGAGATGATGTCATTATCCTGCTGTAGGTAGGAAGAAGCCATCTCTGCTCCATTGTTCAGACTGCAACATTGTAACCAGGGGCGGACTGACCATTTGAAAACTCGGGCACTGCCCGAGGGCCCGTGGTCAGTAAGGGGCCCCATGAGATGCCCCTGGTACCTTTTTCATAGGCTTTTTTTTAGTTTGGGCAAGGACACAGGTGCCCCATGATCCCCTATTGCCCGGGGGCCCCATGAGTTGTCAGTCCGCCCCTGATTGTAACTTTGTAGCAAGTGACAGGTTGAGAGGCTGCAGCAAGGGCTGATGTGCGTTATTAATGTGTGAACACAATCAAGGACTGCAGAGGCACCAGGATATACATCCAGGAAGTAGATGCTGACCCCGAATAATGCTTAAACAAACTTAGCTCCTTCCATCTGGAGAAAAAAGCTGGCAAAGACACTGTCAGTCAGGGGAAGTGTTATGATCTCTTTACAAATTCATAAATACCTTTAAAATGGTTGTAAACCTCAGACATGAAATGTGAACAAAGTATATTCCTCTATAGTGTGTAAATCTCATTTCGTCTCAATTACGTGCACTAAGTTTCACTTCGGTTTGGTATTTTGTTCCTCTATCAGTATGAGTCACTTCTGACAAGTTTTCCTGACACCAAGAAAAAAAAAAATGGTGACAGAGAGGGACTTCCAGTAGATTGACAGCCTCAGTTCTGTTCCTGTGAGCTGTGTGGAGGGGGTGTGTCTCTTCCCTCCAATCAACAATCAGAGTTCTCCTCACTGAGCTCTGCAGTGTAAAGCTCTTCGCCCCCTTTTTTCTGAACTCTCAGACAAACTTTATAAATTCCACACTTTGAATGGATGTAGAGATGAGAAAATTACAGATAAACAGGTACAATGTATGCAGGAGGATTTATCTATTCTCTGTGTATTATGCCAGTCAATTCACTCAGGACAAATATCTGATACTACTGTATGGCTGCTTTAACCACTTGACTTCTGGAAGATTTACCCCCCCCTTCATGACCAGGCCATTTTTTGCTATACGGCGCTGCGCTACTTTAACTGACAATTGCATGGTCATGAAACACTGTACAGAAATGAAGTATATATCATTTTTTTCACACAAATAGAGCTCTCTTTTGATGGTATTTGATCATCACTGTTTTTTTTTTATTTTTTGCACTAAAAACGAAAAAAGACTGAGAATTTAAAAAAAAAACAAAACATTTTTTAACTTTTTGCTATAAAACCTACCCCATAAAAACTTTAAATAACTAAATTTCTTCATAAATTTAGGCCAAAGTGTATTCTGCTACATGTCTTTGGTTAAAAAAATGCCCACAAAATGTGTATGTTAATTGGTTTGCGTGAAAGTTGTAGTATCTACAAATGGCGTTTCAAGGAAGAATATGGTGTTTCTGTAATTACAGGTTTCAACTTTTTGGGATAAAAGTCCTCTAAAGGAAAAGTTGTGTCTCCTTGTTCCCCTGAGTCCTCTTCTCCACAGTAAACGCCTGCCACATCCATGCAGACTGACTTCAGATTCTAGGCAGGAACATTTTTTGCCCAGGGCTGCCCCTTTGACCTGCCCCTGACTGTATATTGTACGTAATCTTTGCACTTAGCTATCCTGCGTTATTATCTCAGACTAACAGACTGCAGATAGGCATAGATTGTGCAGCAAAGTGCTATCAATGCTAACCACTCTGCCACGATGCTGCCCCAGCTGCCTTCTATCTATAGCGTCTTTGTATCTGACTTACTTATAATATTTATTGATTCCTTTACCTCACTTAGCATCCACTGGCTTTCAATATATCGAGTGGATGGGTTTTTTATGTATCATTTGAAAGGGTGCTATCAATGTAATGTCCATATACTTATTACAAGATCTCATTTTTGTTTTTTAAATGTAAAATGTTAGTTTGGCTTTAATCAAGTCAGAAAAAGGGGCTGTTCTCTTTAAACTTGTGCATTATTGTATATACTTAAAGCGGAGTACCACTTGGAAGCTCTGCTTCTTTTGTGTCCCCCACCCCCCCCTGCCATATTTGGCAACTTTTGGGGGGGAGCGGGTACCTGTTTTTGACCGATACCACTTCCGGCCGAAGTGAGCCTGAATTTCGGCCCCCCTCCTTCTCCTGAAGTCTCCGGGAACCTTCACAGGTCTCAGAAGACTGCCGGACCAATCAGAATGCGCAGCGCAACTCACGCATGCGCAGTGGGCACCCAGCTGTGAAGCCACAAGCTTTCATAGCCTGGTGTCCACAGTTGTGATGCCGGGGAGAGAAAGGACGGGTGAGCACATTGCTGGACTCTGGGACAGGTGAGTGTGTGTTTATTAAAAGTCAGCAGCTACAGTTTTTGTCTCATCCCCCAGGTTTAATAAAAAAATTGGAAGGCATTAATGTGGTCTTAAAGTAAAATGAATATATACAGTAAGTGTTCCCCAGAGCTTTTCTTGCCATCATGTGTAGGTATGCACACAGGGGTGTATGGACAGGGTTCGCAGTGGTCACATTTGTGACCCGACCCCATGCTCTAGGGGGCCCGTGTGGCCCTGTACACCTGGATAGGAGGGGCAGCGGCATGTAGAGGAGCCAATCCCTCCATGATACCACTGAATGCGCGCTTTCCTCCTCTTCCTTCCGCAGACATTCAATGGCTGCAGGAAGAAAATGGAGGGCATCAGTTTCTCTACTACATGCCGCCCCACCTTCCTATCCTGTCCTGCTGCCCTGTTTGCTCCCCTGCTCCCCCCTCATCCCCCTTGCAGCAATGCCAGGGTCCATCCTCCCCTCTCCACTGCAGGGGATACTGTCAGGATGGAGAGCAGGGAAGAGGTAAGTATATGTGCCATTTACTGCCACCATCCTTGTCTTATTTAACATCAGAGGTCTGTTTAGACCCCTGATATTTCACCAAAGCCCCCCAACAGCGGTCCAAAATTTTGTTAAAAAATACTCAAAATAAAATTGTAAAAAAAAAAAAAAAACCAAAAAAAACACATGATATAAAATGGTAAGAAAAAAAACAAAAACTATTAGAACCAGTGGCAAAACTACCGAGGTCGCACTTGCGACTAGGCCCTGGCGTTCCACCACTGTGGGAGGACTACAAGACAGCAGGAAGGCGGTCTTCTGCGGGACCGTAATAAAAGGTACCACGATGGGAGTAAAGGGCCCCCCGGAATCAGTAGGAAGGGCCCCTTTATGATTCTTGCACCGGGGCCCTGAAGATTCTAATTATGCCTCTGTATACACAGCATACATAATATGGCACCCTTTTCTCACAAAACACTATGGTGTCCACACTCCCCTTCATTGCTCCATCGCCACCGTTGACATCTACTTTGGGTCTTCTGCATTTTCAGCCATCTTGATTGGCCAGCCAGAATGATGTAGCTCCCATGCATGTACTCTAAAGTTACTCTGTCTTGAAATACTTTGCATGACAATATTGTACACTGAACCCATGTACAATCTGAATAGAATTGCTGTCAGGCAGAAAAAAAAAAAGACATTCAGAACCACTTCTATGAGAAAAGCCTACCTGCTATCAATGTACAAAAAAATCCTGAGCTAAACTATAAGGAGCACACACAGAATCCTTGTAAATGGGTAAGGTTTTTGCTGTCAGTTGGGACTCCTGCGATTTGAATTGAACCTTAAAAATGTTTTACCCTGCTGAGATCTAAGTCGGAGGATCAAGGTGTTCCCAATAGTGCTTAGTGTACGGTTGGCCTTGAAGGTCAGATGACTGAATCGTTGCTCTTATCAGGTTCAGAAACTTCATCTGCTTTGAGATATGATCCTGATGATCTTTTGGTATAACTGACAAAGTACAGCGTCCTTCTGCAGTTTTTTTCAAAAATATTACATTTTTTCTATAAATGTGTAATTGTACTTTTTCGTTAGCTTAGATTTTCTAGGTATTTCTATTTGACCTCTTCTCCCTGTAAAACGATAGTTTATACAAGAAGTTAGGAGTTGAGAATCTACATTGTGGAACAGATTTATAATAGATATCTTTTATACCCTGCAGTATGACTCGCTATCACAGCCTGTATTTTGCAGCCCATTCATAAAATGCAGGTTGCAGTACTGAGCCAACTATAATTCACAGATTTCTCTCAACAGAGAACTCCATGGTTACAGGAGAACCAGCCATGTGACTTTGACAGGTCATGTGACTGAGCTGTCTCCTGGCTGAAAGAACTTCAGTTCATTTTAAAGTTGTATTATTATTATTATTATTTTGAGTTTATATAGCGCCAAGGGTTTGCTCAGCGCTGTACATAGGGGGGGGGGGCAATACATGGCACAGTACAACAATAACAAACAACGTACGAGGGGTAAGTATTAAACCCCCAAAGCAAACGTTTATTATATTGCAGTTTGCCAATTCTTAGATGTGATGCCTGTATTAGTTTCCTTTTTTAGGCTTTCTTTTTCCTATTTTCATTTGGTAATCCAGTCAGCAAGTCTGTTTTCAGAAGCTCAAGCTCTCCAGCAGAATGTAGACAAACCATTTAACACTGGTGGGGGGGGGGTTAAAATTTTCACCTTTATTACAAAAGGAAAAAATCTGTTTGTTGTAACTGATTATATAAAGTATTAGCTGCAGTATGGCTTCAGTTTGTTTAGTGTATTTAACTCTGCTAATACATTTAACACTACCCAACCACCAGACTGACAATGCTGTTGTCTGCTGTGCCTCCTGTGCTCCTTCATCCAGAGATATCTCAATAATACAGGAGGTATGTTACTGGCCATGTCACCAGGTGAAAACAGAGGGGGAAAAGCCAAAAAAAAGAAAATGATACAGCCACCACAATCTAATGGTTGGTAAACTGCAATGTAATACATTTTAGTTTTTTAGATTTGTTACCACTTTAATTGCTCTCTGCTGGCTTTGGACTCCCAAGCCAGTGGAGCACATGCACATT